AAGGACATCGCCTAGGCCCAGAGTTCAAGCCCCACGACCGACAAAAAAAAAAAAAAAAAAGATGAAGGAACTGCAGCCAGGCTTTGCATTCAAGCCCTAGGACCCGAACAAAAATAAAAAGAAAGAAGAAAGGAAAAAAAAAGAGAGAAAAAAAGGATTTAAAAAAAGGAAAGGCGCTCAAAGTAATCCCTTAACACAAGACGTGTAAAGGGTGAGTGCTCCTTTAAGAGGAGGGCTGGAAAGCTGAGGGGCGTGGCCTAAGAGACCTCCCGGACTGAACCACGTGGCCTTCGGAATCCCCGCCCCTTCCCGTTTATGGGTGCAAGATGGCGGCGCCCAGAGCGGTAGGTGACCTGGCGTTCCCCAAACCTAAGTTCTCCCCCTGCAGCCTTCCCATCAGGGCCCTCGCCGCCAGAAAGCAGCAGCATCCCCCTGCGCCTCCCTGAATCTCCCCGCACCGGGTGTGGGCACCTGCGGTTCCTCGGGGCCGAGATATGCCGACGGTGTGGCTGGCAAGAGCCTTTGACAGTAACAGTGGGCGGGAACTTGGCAGGGAGTAGCCAATGACTGTGAGGGTGTGGTGCCGAAGAGACACGCGCAGCCAATCGGAGGGACGGATTCGGCTCTACAGGGAACCAATAAGCAGGCGAGGGTTGGACAGGAAGGGAATGATTCTTGGAAATGATTGGATGAGAGTCTGGGAGGCGGGGTAGGGGTGGGGGTTGGGAGGGGACGAACACCAGAATTGTGTTGAAAACGCAAAGATAGAAAAGGTTGAAAGCTTGAGCCAGTAGGTAGGTGAATTTGGGATTACTCGCCTCGCATGGAAGATTCGGTCCCATCTCCAGCACCAAAAAACTAATGGAAATTTTTGTATTTTTGACTGTACTGGGTGTTTAAAACTCAGGGCCAGGTACTTGTCTAAGAAACACACGAGCCATGCTCCGAGCAGTTTTCTGCTTTTTACATAGGGTCCTGAGTTTTCCCCCATACCCACCAACCTATGGCAGTACAACATAGCTGAGACCACAGGTGTATACCACCACACCCAAGCTTATTTTGCTGAGATGAGGGTCTCTATAACTTTACGCCTGGGATGACCTCAAACCTCCAATTTCTACCTCCCCAGTGGCTGCGATTACAGATGTATGGCCCATACCTGACCTGTGTTTTGAGGAGGCAGGAAATGAGTCATTCAGGAAGATCTCAGGTAGAATTCCGTAATGTTTAGGGTTGAATTTGTGAGAATTTTTTTTAAAAAAATCATAAAAATGATTTGGAAAGAAAAAGGCAGCGGCTTTGGAAGAAAATTAGACCAAAGAACCTGGGAAATGCAAGAATGTTTGTCTAAATTCAAGAGAAAATTTAGGGTTAATTAAAGGAAGAACTTAGGCTGGCAGAGTGGTTCAATTGATAAAGTACCTGCCTCGGAAAGGTGAATCCCTGAGTTTTTTTTGGGTCCGGTAGTGGGGCCTGAACTCTGGGCTTGGGCGCTGTCCCTCAGCTCTTCAGTTCAAGGCTAGCACTCTACCACTTGAGCCACAGCACCACTTCCGGCTTTTTTCTTTTTGCTTATGTGGTGCTGAGGAATTGAACCCAGGGCCTCATGCATGAAAGGCAAGCACTCTATCACTGAGCCACCTTCCCAGCCCCAGGTTTTTTTTTAAAGGCCAGGCACAGGTGGCAACACCTGTAATCCTAGCTACACCTGAGGCTGAGACTCAGGGATCATGGTTCAAAGTCAGCCCAGGCAGGAAAGTCTTATTTCCAATTAACCCTCATAAAACCCTCAAAAAAAAAAAAGTGGGACTGTGTCTCAAAGTGGTAGAGTGCTAGCCTTGAACAAAAGAGCTCAGAGACAGGGCCCGGGCCTGAGTTCAAGCCCTATGAGAAGAAGAGGAGAAGGAGGAAGAGGGGAGGGAGGGAGGGAAGGAAGGAGAAAGAGGGAGGAGGAAGAAAAAAGAATTTGAGGAAAATATAATGCTAGCTACTCAGGAGGCTGAGATGTGTAGATCACAGTTCAAAGTCAGCCCAGTCAGGACAGTATGTGAGAATCTTTATCTCCAGTGAACCACCAGAAAAGTAGAACTGGGCTCAAGTGGTAGAGCACTAACCTTGAGCAAAAGAAGCTCAGGCACAGCGTCTAGGCCCTGAGTTCAAGGCCCATTACACACACACACACACACACACACACACACACGCAGGGGATTAAGGTTTATGGAGCAAAAAAAAACGTAACCTTGCTTCAGGTTCAACCCCTCCTTTCCTGTCCTCCTTAGTTCCAACGCCTGGTGGCCTCAGAACTGTGTAAGAATTCCAGAGGCCTCCAAGGTCTGAGTGGGGTGGTGGCCCCAGAGAGCAATCAGAAGAAGAAAAGGACTCTCCTTCAATTCCTGTCTGACTACTTCTACGACATGGAGGCCCTGAGGGAGTACTTGCTGCGGAGGCAGATTTTGAAGGTGCAGAGGAAAAATCGGTGAGAACCTGAGGCCTGGAAGGCCTGGTGGAGACCCTGGGGCTAGGACCACCCAGCTGGAGTCCAGCTCCGGCCGGTGCCACTCGCAGGTCTTACCCCCACACACACACTTCCTCTGCCAACTTCAGCTCCAGCCCACAGCTTTGTAAAAGGTTCCTCCTCCTTCAAGCTCCTCTCTCACCAGCTGCAGTTGGGGGTGTAGCTGGAATCTCAGCCCTAGGATGACTAAAACCAATGTTCATTTCTTCCTTAAAAAAGTGTGTTCAGGTTGGGAATGTGGCTTAGTGGTAAAGTGCTTGCTTAGCATGCATGAAGCCCTGGGTTCAATTCCTCAGCACCACATAAACAGAAAACGACAGAAGTGAGCACTGTGGCTCAAGTGGTAGAGTGCTAGCTTTGAGCAAGAGAAGCTCAGGGACAGCGCCCAGGCCCTGAGTTCAAGCTCCAGGACTGGCAAAACAAAAAGAAAACGTGCTCATTCCAGGAATGGGTACCACCTTCCACCAACTTGTTTAGCCCAAATATAAAAGAGTCTTTCCCCCTCCTCCCCACCCCTTACCCCTCCACCTCTCTTGGCTTCTCTGCCCTTTATAACTAGTCTGGCAGTACTAGAATATTCCAAATGTGATCAGTTCACATTTCACATTTGGGCACCCCTGGGTCACCCCATATCATCCTAGCTACTCAGGAGGCTGAGATGTGAGGATCATAGTTCACAGTTAGCCCAGGTAGTAAAGTCTGTAAGAATCTTATCTCCAATGAGCCATCAAAAAAAAACCTCTGGACTGGAGGCATGGCTCAAGTGTCAATGGAAAAAGCCCAATGAGAGTTGAAGGCCCTGAGTTCAAGTCCCAGTACTTGCACACACACACACACAATCTCCAAGGACTAAGGCTTAGCCTTTATACTAGAATACTAGCATTCTAGTAAACTCTCAGTAAAAACTTGCAACCAGGCTACTGTGTTTGCTGGGCGTCCCAGACACCTGGCATGCCGGAAGGAACCCTGGGGTTTTCCAGTCCTAATCTTTGCTCTGGTTCTCTCTGCAGATCCTTCCTCGCCCTGAAGGAGCACTATGGCCCCTATGTCACAGGTGCCTACTTCGTCCTGAAGCTGGGCGGTGCAGTCAAGTAAGACAAAGGTTTCAGATTGGAGGGAGGGGGCAGGGATCCCTAAGGCCTGGGCAGTCACTGGGAGGCGGTGAGCTCCCCACTGCCACCTAGTGGCCATGTGGCAGAGGGTTTGTTCCTGGGCTTCTGTTTTGTCTGTAATAAAATGGGATGGGTAGGTACTAAGGGGGCTGAAATCTGAGAATTGTAGTTCAAAGCCAGCCCAAGGAAGGAAAGTCTGTAAGACTCTTATCTCTAATTAACCACCAGAAAACCAGTACTGGAGATGTGGCTCAAAGTGGTAGAGCGCTAGCTTTGAGCAAAAGAACTCAGGGACATGGGGCTAGGAATGTGGCTTAGTGGTAGAGTGCTTGCCTAGCATGCATGAAGCCCTGGGTTCCAATTCCTCAGTACCATATAAACAGAAAAAGCCATAAGTGGTGCTATGGCTCAAGTGGTAAGTTCAAGCCCCAAGACTGGCAAAAAAAACCCCAACAAAACAAAACAAAAAAACTCAGGGACAGCACTTAGGCCTTGAGTTCAAGCCCCAAGACTGAGAAAGGAAAGAAGAAAAAAGAAAGAAAAGAAAAAGGGCAAAAAAGTAAAGAAGAAGGGCCAGTGTTTGTAGATGTGTCATAAAAATTGGGATTTTTGCCAGGTATTGGTGGCTCACGCCTGTAATCCTAGCTACTCAGAAGGCTGAGATCTGAGGATCACAGTTCAAAGCCAGCCTGGACAAGAAAGTCCGTGAGACTCTTATCTCCAATAAACCACTCGAAAACCAGAAGTGGCACTGTGGCTCAAGCGGTAGAGTGCTCACCTTGAGCTGAAGAGCACAGGGACAGCACCCAAGTCCAGAGTTCAAGCCCCATGACCAACAAAAAAAAAGGGGGGGGGATTTTTTGCCCTCTAAACCTTTGTAAGGAGGTATAACAAAGCAAATGTGTTCAATAAAGTTAGCCAGCTGGGAAGGGTGGCACAAACCTGTAGTCCCAGATACTCAGGAAGGAGAGGTTAGGGGTGGGAAGGATTTCTTGAGCTCAGGAGTTTAGTAACCCACCTAGGACACATAGCATGACTCCATCTCAAAAGAATTTTTCTGGGCTGGGAAGGTGGCTCAGTGGTAGAGTGCTTGCCTAGCATACATGAAGCCCTGAGTTCAATTCCTCAGCACTACATACACAGAAAAAGCCAGAAGTGACGCTTTGGCTCAAGTGGCAGAGTACTCGCCTTGAGCAAAGGAAGCTTAGGGACAAGCCCCAGAACTGGCGGGGGGGGGGGGTGGAGAGACAGAGAGAGAGAGAGTCTTTTTTTGTTGTTGTTGGTTGTGGGGCTTGAACTCTGGGTTTGGGCTGTCCCTCAGCTCTTCAGCTCAAGATGAGCACTCTACTGCTTGAGCCACAGCGCCACTTCTTGTTTTCGAGTGGTTTATTGGAGATAAGAGTCTCACAGATTTTCCTGCCCTGGCTGGCTTTGAACCTCGATCCTCAGATCTCAGCTTCCTGAGTTGCTAGGATTACAGGCGTGAGCCACCAGTGCCCGGCTCTTTTTTTTTTTTTTTTTGTCAGTCATGGGGCTTGAATGCTGTCCCTGAGCTGCTTTTGCTCAAGGCTAGCACTCTACCACTTGAGCCACAGCACCACTTCCAGCTTTTTTGAGTAGTTTCTTAGAAATAAAAGTCTTACCAAGTTTCCTTCTGCAGTAGCTTCAAACTGCGATCCTCAGATCTCAGCCTCCTGAGTAGCTAGGATGACAGGCATGAGTCACTGCCTGGCAAGACAGTCTTTTTTTTTTTTGTCAGTCGTGGGGCCTGAACTCTGGGCCTGGGCGCTGTCCCCCAGCTCTTCAGCTCAAGGCGAGCGCTCTATCACTTGAGCCTCAGCCACACTTCCAGCTTTTTCTGCTTATGTGGTGCTGAGGAATTGAACTCAGGGCCCCATGCATGCAAGGCAAGCATTGAGCCAGCTTCCCAGCCCCCCCAAGACAGTCTTTCTTGCTGAGTAAAGTGGCTCCTGTCTGTAGTCTCAGCTACTGAGGCAGGTAGAGATTGGCAGAATCACAGTCCTAGACTGGCCCTGGACAAAAACAAAAGACTTTGGCTCCCATTGGTTCCTGGAGGCCTGTTAAGCAGCATCTTGGGTTTGGGACAGAGGGGTCATTTGGCCGTCTGGGAGGATCTGTTCTCATCCAGCATCTCTTGGGCCCTGGGTGCTGGTGTGTGATGCATCCCATGGTCACAGGACCACACAGGACACCAGCCCCTTCAGTGGGGCGCTGTGGGCACCTCTGACCTTCCCTCCCCACCCTTCCAGGTTCCAGGGCCAAGAGTGGATGCGGCCCAGCAAGCATGGCTGGATCTCTCCCTCAATAGGCAATCTGCACTCGGTACCCGTAGAGGCCGTGGATGTCAGCGGTTGCGTCATCAACTACGAAGGCCTGGACCACATCCGTGAGCGGGCAGCCCAGGAGGGAGTGGGCGGCAGGGAAGGGACGCGGGGCTTCCCCAAGGACCCCTGGTGACCCCAGCCTTCTGCCTCCTTGCAGTGCTCCTGAAGGAGCTCCGCTCCCTGTCCCTGCAGCGCTGTCCCCACGTGGATGACTGGTGCCTCGCTCGTCTCTACCCGCTGGCCGGCTCGCTGCAGGAGCTGTCACTAGCCGGGTGTCCCCGAGTCTCCGAACGGGGCCTCGCCTGCCTCCACCACCTCCAGTGAGACCTCAGGCCAGGCTGGCACCATACCAAGCCCACTCCTGCCTAGCACTGATTCAGTGGAGAGTGAGGAAGAGGGCTACTGGGCGGTCCCCATGTCCCCTCCCTCCGCCACAGCCCAGGGGTGTGAGCACAAGGGAGCAGTCACTTGGGCTAGGACTCAGGGCCTGAGCTTCTTTGTTCAAGGCTAGCACTCAACCACTGGACCCGCAGCCTCACTTCTGGCTTTTTCTGAGTAGTTTATTGGAGATAAGAGCCAGCCTGGGCTGGCTTTGAACCTCGATCCTCAGATCCCAGCCTCCTAAGTAGCTAGGATTACAGGCCATGACTCACTGGTTGCCTGGCTTTTTAACTCCTGTTTTTGTTGGAATGAAAATGCCACGCTGTTTGCACGGCAGCAGAACAGTTGGACCCAACAGCCGTATTTGTGATTAACAGTGGATTTCATGTCCTTAACCAGCTGTAGACTTAGTTTGAATATGGCCAGGCACCGATAGCTCACACCTGTCATCCTAGCTGCTCAGGAGGCTGAGATCTGTGGCTCGCGATTTGAAGCCAGCCTGCACAGACAAATTCTGGAGACTCTTTATTTCCAATTAACTAACAGAAAACTAGAAGTAGAGCCGTGGCTCAAGTGGTAGAGCATCAGCCTTAAACAAAACAAACAAAAAAAAGGAGAATGTGAGGTTCTGAGTTCAAGCACCCTAATGGGCATACACACACAGCTTTATTTTGAGGCCTGGGCTGTGGTTCAGCGGTAGAGTACCTCAGTACTGCCTCCAAAAATCTTTTTTAGGAAGCCAGGTGCTGGTGGCTCACACCTGTAACCCTAGCTACTCAGGAGGCTGAGATCTGAGGATTGTGGTTCAAAGCCAGCCTAGGTAGGAAAGTTCCTGAGACTCTTATCTCCAATGAACCACCAAAAAAAAAAGCCAGAAATGGAGTTGTGGTTCAAGTGGTAGAACACTAGCCTTGGACAGAGAAGCTCAAGGACATCGCCTAGGCCCAGAGTTCAAGCCCCAAGACCAGTACCAGAAAAGAAAAAGGTTTTATGAAGCTGGGGGTTGAGATGAGGCTCAGGACCCCCACCCATGTGTACGCGTGCACACCAGGGCTGGCCTCACTGCCCTCCTTGCCTTCTTCCAGGAACCTCCGCCGATTGGACATCTCGGACCTCCCTGCTGTGTCCCACCCCAGCCTCACTCACATCCTGCTGGAAGAGATGCTGCCGCACTGCGAGGTGGTGGGGGCCGGCTGGGCCCAGGACCTGCAGCCAGGGGACACACCCAGTCCCGTCCAGTCTAGCCTTCAGTCCACAGCCCACTCCAGCTAGGCCTCAGAGCGCTGTGTGATGTCCAGTGTGTCACTGTGGCTTCGTGAGGTTGACGCAGCACCAGGTACTGGCAGATCAGAGGGAGAGAGAGAAAAACGCAAGATGGGATTGCTAGTCCTGGCTGTCATCTGTCAGGTTGTCTTCACAGCAAAGCTGCAGGCGGCTTTGTGGCACCCTCATCTAGTGGCTCCCCCAAATGGTTCCCCTGAGCCATCACTTGCAGGAACCTTGAACAACACCAGGTGCACAGCCATGGCCCCACGAAGGGTCTGTCCTTGTTTGTCTGCTCTGTGAAGATGGAGCTGGGCCTTTGGAGTATTTCTTTGCTGGATATACAGTGAGCTTGGTTGGGAGAAAGTGCTGGGGAACCATTCAGGGAAGAAGCATGGACGCCCCATCCCCACAGCTCACAGCTTCTCAGGGCCTCGGGTCTCAGATGGTCCTCAGCATCCTCTGACACCTCTACCTCAGCTGCCTCATGGGGTGTGGGAGGATGAGGGGGACACCAGAGCTCTCCAGAATCCCAGATAGATTTCCAGTCAGTTCCGAGGCACTTTACCAGTGAATCCATCCTGGTTCCAATTTGCTGTTGAAGTCAATAATCCTATATATTAAACTTTCCCCATTTGAATTACTGAGTCTTTTTTTTTCCTCCTCTTTTTTTTTTTGGGGGGGGGGTCTGGTCGTGTGGCCTGAACTCTGGGCCTGGGCCCTGTCCCCCAGCTCTTCAGCTCAAGGCGAGCGCTCTACCACTTGAGCCACAGTGCCACTTCTGGCTTTTTTCTTTTTGCTTATGTGGTGCTGAGGAATCGAACCCAGGGCCTCATGCATGCAAGGCAAGCGCTCTACCACTGAGCCACCTTCCCAGCCCCTTACCTTGTTCTAGGACAGGTGTTTACCCAAGACAGAGTAGCTCACACACTGAAAAGACAATACTCCTTGGGATGGAGAAGGTGGGCATGTTATAGGAGTTCAAGGCTAGCCCAGGTCACGTTGGACTCAAAATACAAGACCAGGCTGCAGTGGCTTGTGTCTGTAATCCTGGCTACTCATCACAATTTGAAGCCAGCTGGGGGAGGAAAGTCTGTGAGACTCTGATCTCTAATTAACCATCAAAAAAAAAGCCAGAATTAGAGCTGTGGCTCAAGTGGTAGAGTACGAGCCTTGCACACAAAGGCTTAGGGAGAGCACCCAAGCCCTGAGTTCAAAACCAAGGACTGACAAAAACAAACAAAAACAAGGGTCCCAGCACTTAAGAGGCTGAACCAAGAAGACAGGATGTTCAAAGCCAGCCTGAGCCTTTTGCTAACACAGCCAAGACCCTGTGTCAAAGACAAACAAAAGTAGGCTGGGAGCTGGTGGCTCATACCTGTAATTTTTTCTACTCAGGAGGCTGAGATCTGAGAATCACAGTTCAAAGCCAGCCCAGGCAGCAAAGTCTGTGAGACTCTTATCTCCAATGACCCATCTAAAAACTGGAAGTGGCACTGTGGCTCAAAGTGGTAGTGCACTAGCCTAGAGCAAAAAGTTCAAGGACAGTGCACATGCCTGAGTTCAAGCCCATGACCACAGAGGGAAAAAAAAGGGACAGGTGGGGAGCTGGTGCTGGTGGCTCCCGCATATAATCCTATCTACTCAGGAGGCTGAGATTTGATGATTGAGGTTTGAAGCCAGCCTGGGCAGAAAAGTCTGTGAGAGTCCAATAAACTACTCAGAAAAAGCAGCAGTGGCACTGTGGTTCAAGTGGTAGAGTGCTAGACTTGAGCACAAAGAGGCTCAGGGACAGTACCCAGGCCCTGAGTTCAAGTCCCAGGATGGGCCAAAAAAAAAAGTGGGGGGGGGCAGAATGATGGAAGGAACAACATTGCTTAAGATGCATTGTATTCATCAATAGCCATGCTGAATTGAAACCCCTTCAACTATTTAAAGATATGTGTGCAGGTATGTTGGTACTGAGGCTTGAACTCAGGTGCTGTCTGGTAGCTTTTTCCCCCCACTCAGGGCTGGCACTCTACCTCTTCAGCCACAGCCTGACTTCTGCCCCTCACCCCCCAGTCCTGGGGACTGAACTCAGGACCTGGGCCCTGTCCTGAGCTTCTTTTGCTCAAGGCTAGCACTCTACCACTTGAGCCACAGCACCACTTCCAGGCTTTTTTCTATGTATGTGGGTACTGAGGAATCAAACCCAGGGCTTCAGGCATGCTAGGCAAATACTCTACTGTGAAGCTTAAACAAAATATAGCCAGTTTAGGTTTAGATTCCATCCTGTTCAGACACTATAACTGAAACTCCAGGAACTGTATCAGCAACTCCCTTTGAGCCCAAATTCCAGGAACAATTCCCTTTCTGGTAAATTCCACTAACTACAGCTAAGTTCCAAATGTTCCTGCAAATTAAAGACCACTTGGTCTCAGCTGAGATCATCTGCTTTTTTTTTTTGGGTCCGGTCGTGGGGCCTGAACTCTGGGCCTGGGCCCTGTCCCTCAGCTCTTCAGCTCAAGGCTAGCGCTCTACCACTTGAGCCACAGCGCCACTTCCGGCTTTTTACTTTGTGTGGTGCTGAGGAATCGAACCCAGGGCCTCAGGCATGCAAGGCAAGCACTCTACCACTGAGCCACCTTCCCAGCCCGAGATTATCTGCTTTATCCAGTCATTTTGAAGAGCATCAGCCCCATGAACCAGCCAACCCACTGGTGACGCTAATCATCTTTTAGAATTATTTTATGAATTTCCCATGGTGCGATATGATTTGCTAAGTGATGCTATGGTGTATAGAAAGCCCCTGAAACCTTATAAAAACCCTGCTGAAGGAAGGGGTCATGGCTCTCAACTCTGATCCGCTGTGTGGGTGATGGTTGTGGGTCTTGAGCTTGTAATAAATGAGGCTGGTGTGCTTGCATCCCATTCGGCTCCTTGGTGGTCTTTGGAGATCCTTATCTAGGCATAAGACTACCACTAGGCCACATTCCCAGCACAGACTTCTGGCTTTTCTTATTGGTTAGATAAGAGTCAGATTTGCCTGCCTAGGCCTCTTTAATGGCTAGGATTCCAGGTGTGAGCCAAGATGCTCAACTGGAGGTGGTTCTAAGAGCTACTTGTTTGTTTCACTGGAACTTGGACCCACCAGAAACCTACAGTTAGCAAAGGCTTAATTAGCCTTGGAGTAATCGCACCACCTGCACATCCTCATAACTGGGGTACACCAGGAGAAACCCCACAGCCACCCACTCCTCATTGCCCAATTGCAGGTTGCGGCTGTAACCACTCAGAGCTGAACGCTGCTCCCGCTGCGCCTGGCTTCTCCTTCCTGATTGGACCCAGGCTGGAACACACAATCAGAAGCGGGAGGGGGGGGGGAGGGCGGAGGTTCCTCAAAGGAGGCAGCCAGATGAGCCAGGAGAACTCAGGGAGCCCTTGAACCCTTCTCTATTTAAGCCCTGGGGTGAAGTGGGCTTGGCCCAGCCCAGTCCCTGGCAAAGTTCCCCATCTAGCTCTTATTCCATTAGCCCCCCC